GGGGTAAATGTCAATTGGTCTGCTATACGTCGCGTTAAATAGCTGAACCGCGCCAAACGCTGGCCGCACCGTGTTAGCACGGTCCACAGCTATCATTCAAGCCATTGTGCACCCCAATCGGACCAGTGGATGCAGAGAGACGCCCACCCATGGGGGCTCAATGGCTCAAGGGCCGGTGGAGCAGTTGAGCTTAACTGCCCCACCAGGCCAAGCTCTATCTACAGGGTGTGGTTTGTCTTACGAAGATTAGCATTGTGTTTGCATGGCCCACAGCTATCATTCACGCTATCGGACACCCTGATCGGAGCAGTGGATGCAGAAAAACGCCCACCCACGGGGGCTCAGTGGCTCATGGGGCGGTGGAGCAGTTAAGCTTAACTGCTCCACCAGGCCAAACTATATGTACGGGGTGCTGTTTGTCTGACGAAGACTTGCATTGTGTCGGCACGGCCCACAGCTATCATACAAGCCGTCGGGTACCCCGATTGGACCAGTGGGTGCAGAGAAACCCCCACCCACGGAGGCTCAGTGGCTCAAAGGCCGGTGGAGCAGGTAAACCATATCTGCTCCACCAGGCCAAACTCTATCTACAGGATAATTATTTGCCTCCGGAGACTTGCATTGTATTCGCACGGCTTACAGCTATCATACAAGCCACCGGACCCCCCAATCGGACCAGTGCATGCAGACAAACGCCGCTCAGCCGTTCAAGGGCCAGTGGAGCAGATATGCTATCTGCTCCACCAGGCCAAACTCCATCCGCATGACGTCTTTTGTCCTACTAAGGCTCAGTGGCTCAAGAGCCGGTGGAGCAGATAAGCTTTTAACTGCTCCACCAGGCCAAACTCTATGTAAAGGGTGCCGTTTTTCTTACGAAGACATGTATATATATTGTGTCGGCATGGCTCACATCTTTCATTCAAGCCATCGGGCACCAGTGGGTGCAGAGAAACGCCTATCAACGGGGGCTCAGTGGCTCACAGGCCGGTGGAGCAGATAAGCCATATCTTATCTTCTCCACCAGGCCAAACTCTATCTAGAGGACATTGTTTCTCCTTCGGAGACCTGCATTGTGTTGGCACGTCTCACAGCTATCATACAAGCCATCGGGCACTCCAATCGGAGTACTACTGTAGTTCCAGAGAGAGGAACGCCCGCGGGTCCCACGGGGGCTCATTGGCTCAAAGGCCGGTGGCACAACAGTCATGTCTAAAGTCGTAAGGGTTGTATGTTTACGTACCGGACAACTTTAGCTGTCGACTCGTCATTTGACATATTACCAATAGACTTACTGTTATACTGTATCTGCTGAGCTCACGCCGGAGTGAATGATGAATGATGAGTGAAGTTATACTCTCAACTCACTCCTCCGCGTTCTTTACTGAACTGAACGGCCTTCTATAAGACCAGCATCCGCATCCACTGGTGCGATTCGGGCGTCCGGTGGTTTCAATGATAGCTGTGAGCCGTGCCGACACAGTGCATGTCTTTGTAAGACAAACAGCACCCTTTACATGGAGTTTGACCTGGTGGAGCAGTTAAGCTTATCTGCTCCACCAGGCCCTTGAGCCACTGAGCCCCCGTGGGTGGGTGTTTCTCTGCACCCACCCGTCCGTCCGATCGGGGTGCACGATGGCGTGAATGATAGATGTGGGCCGTACTAACAATAATGCAAGTAAGTCTTCATAAGACAAACATCACCCTGCAGATAGAGTTTAGCCTGGTGGGCCAGACGGAGTTTCGAGACGATTACTGCTTCGTGGCATGCTGCGGAACCCCCCTTTTCAGCATACCTCTGCGGCCACTGGTCGGAATTAGCTTTTAAGTAGCATTTCAGATAGCTGTACAGTAGTAAACACCTACACGATGCAATTGGTTTGAGGTCGGTTGGAGCTTTGTGAGTGGAGATCTGCCCGGTGGAGCATTTAAGGGGGTGCAGAAAAGGGTTTTCGACGCTGGCTCTTTTCCCATACTTTAATCCTATACAAAGAAATAATTCAACTTCCCCGCCAGGGTTTGGTTAGGCATTCTATTGTCATCAGTAGAGGACACCATGAAGAGGCGTTGTGCGTGCTCGCACGTTAAGGTTTGCTACTGGAGCGGAAACAAATATCGAAGGTCGCAGCAGCCTCTAAAACCTGTCCGAAATTTGCGCCGGAACCAAGCGGCATCCAACGTTTGCCACAGCCATGCTCGCCGCCACGGACCGTGAACAAACCCCTGAACGGAGGGGTGTCAGCAGTAGCTAGTGGCATCAGCTACTGCTGTAAACCCGCAGTTCAGGAGATTGGGGTCGGTCGCGGTGAGCACGGCTGTGACAAATTAAATGTTGGATGCCGCTTGGTTCCGGCGCAGATTTCGGGCTGTTTTCAAAGGCTGCTGCGACCTTCGATATTTCAGCTCCAGTAGCAAACCTGAACGTGCCACACGCACGACGCCTCTTCATGATGCCCTCTACTGATGACAATAGAATGCCTAACCTTACCCTCAAAACTGACCTTGTTTGAGCGCCTTCTGTATTGGCTCTTTTGACTAGAATTTAGAATGAATGGTGGTGTGAATTTTTATCTTGATTTCAAAGGGGGCCGGTGGAGGAAGACGCGTGAAATGTATGTTTTGAGCAGCATCTACTGCCGCCCTGTTCGAGAATCAACGATTGATTGCTGTTTTTCGCGGTGCCTTCCTACTGGTCTTGTGTGTCTGTTGTGCAATTTCTGGTGCTCTCACGTTTGATTTCAAAATTAGTCAACATAATATTCGTCTTCTGCACCCCTTTAGGAGGTTACTCCGGGACCGACCGGTGGACAGGAGCAAATAGCGTTGCCTTTTCAACAAACCACTGTCTGTTTATTCCGGCTCCGACAACAAGCTTGGCTTTGGATTTTGTCGGGAATAAGTCGTTGTGGTGTTGCTAGAGCTAACTGTGTTGATCCCCTGAGTTCGTCGGTTATTATGCTTTCCGTCGGCGACGACGGCGAGAACCGAAAAACAGGTTCAAATCGTTTCTTTGTGGCGGACATGACGGAAAAAAACGCACGCACGCGTACTTGAAGACGGAGTACATACATACTTCATTTTGTCTCTCTGAGGCGAACATGGGCTTGCTTGCAGAGGGGCTACGTCGAAATGTGCCCGGGCTAGGCGAAGACTTCCGGTGTGGGCACAGCCGCAACATCCTCACGGAAACGTGACGAATATGTTTGTCAACAAACGACACAAACACAAAGGGGGCACTAGCTGTCTGTACTGTGCCGTCTTCCCTACTAGCTCTCGGACACCGAATTCTGTTCAGAACAACAGAGGAAACACCTACTAACAACGCTGCTGCTGTCGTGACTCATCAACGTCCTTGAAAGGTCATGAAACATTTCATAGACTTCCATGAAATATTTCATGGAACTTTCATGGAGTTCAACGGACTTCCATGGAATTCCATGAAATATTCCATGGGCGTTCATGAAACATTTCATGGGCGTTCATGGAACATTTCATGGGCGTTCATAGAACATTTCATGGACGTTCATGGGCTTTCATGAAACATTTCATGAACGTTCATGGGCGTTCGTTCATAAAACCTTTCATGAACGTTCATGGAACATTTCGTGCACGGTTCATGAAAACTTTCATGGGTGTTCATGAAACGTTTCATGAACGTTCATGGGCGTTCATGAAAGCATGTCATGAATGTCCATGAAAAATTTCCGTGAAATGTTTCACGACAAGTAGTGAAATATTTTCATGGAGGTTTCATGACACAAATAAATGTCATGGACGTCCATGGAACCTTTCATGGAATGTCGTGAAACGTTTCATGGAATTCCATGGAAGTCCATGGACGTTTCATGGAAGTCCATGGACGTTTCATGGAAGTCCATGGAAGTTCCATGGAAGTCCATGGAATTCCATGGAAGTCCATGAAAAATTTCATTGGATTCCATGGACTTCCGTGAAAGTTTCCATGGAAAAGTACGAAACTGTACAAGCCCCGGATGCGAACCGCCACCTGAATTCGACGAAATTTTGTTTCTTCTATTTCAGAGGGCGGAGCATATGGCCAAGAAAAAGCTCGAGCTACGCTTCGCTGCCAGAGAAAAGTTTTCCTTGATGGACAAGGGTACTCGAGAGACTACAGCCGCGAAATCGATCCAGAGGGTGAGCCACTGACTTCTTCTCGGTAGTTGCACTGATGCCACAGGCATGGTGGTGTGCTAGTTTGCGATGCGGTCACAGCGATTTGGACACCGCAGCGTCCACCTTCGTCCGCACCTATATGCTCTAGGTAACTGCCGGTACGGGTTTGCTTCTGTGGCTGAACAGGAACAAAGAGTTGCTCAAAAAATCGATTTGGAACGAGTTGGCATGAAAAGGTCGTGTTGTGGCGTTTCCGCGTAAGGCCATTCTACGTCTTGTGATAGGTCATATATATATGCACACGAAAAGAAAGGCGGTGCCATCTGTTTTTCCGTCCGTCCACTGCGCCACATACATACAATGAAATGGGTGACCAGCGTTCTCCGTTTTATGCGTGACGTGATTCGCCTCAGGCCCTCCGGGCACACAAGTTCAAAAAGTGTTTGTCTGTCATGGTCGAGTGTGTTCGAATTGCCCGTCGGTGGACGCCCACCATGTTGTTCCGGCTGTACACGTCGCTGGAGGTCAAAGCGGAGGTTGAGAGGCAAGCGACGCAGCTGTGGGAAGAGGGGTTCACGTATGCACCAGCCATGAACGGGGACGACACAGGTACCAGGGACCGGAGCGTTGGTTCTGAACCACCAGGCTCGTGCTTGTTTCGTACCATATGGTGCGCCCCTGAGGATATGATGACCTTGGTAGGCGCCGCAGATGAATGGCACTATTACTACAACAATAGTGGAAAACCACGCTCGACCCCGGAACAATTCAGAATGGCACCGGCCACGAGATGGGCTGGCCAAGGCAAGGCTTGACTCTCTCGCGCCTATTGATCATTGTATTCCCTATATTTTTATACTAACGTTCTCTTTGGGTTATGCTTGCAACCCCTTGGTTCTTGCTATACTCGCTCAGAAACACCTCCAAGTGCACCCCGTGTGGTCTTCGAGAACGCTTTGACGGAAGAAGGATTCCTCGGATTTGCCAGAGATTTGGATATTCTAGCGCTACCGTTTGCGACGCACACTGGCCTCATCTCTCTTTTTCGCCGGTACGCCTCCAAGCTGACGAAAGGGTGAGCTGTATTCAAGTATTCTTCTACAGCTCATAGTATGAGTTAAACGTGAGCCTATCCGACCACCTCTAGAAAACATCCAGGAAACCGCGTCTTGTCCCATTTCCTGCGTGTAGACTCCCGTTCTCACACTGCCGAGGCTCAAGAGCGCGCTTAGGGTTTGGCATGTATCCTCACATATAACGTGTTCCAAGCAACTTGCAACTGTTTACCTCGTCTCTTGTATGAATGACTAACTTGCCACCATTCATCGCTGTTGCTCTACTTCGAAGCGCTGCGTTGCAAGCGAGGGCAAAGGGCCTTTTCTCCTGGTTGTGTAAGTCGTCTGGCGTCCATCGATTGGGGAAGGAAGATATCGCAAAGCTGCTCGATGGGTTGGGACTGCCGAGAATTTCCGACGAAGACGCTCTGTGAGTGTAAGTAACGTAGGACGGAAACGAGAGGAGGGTGTACTCCGAATGCCTTTCAAGCCGGAGCAGGGGATCGGGCCGACAATGTGAAAGGCCCCGAAACGGGATGGTTGCGAAAAGCAGCATGCAGGGATAGGTTGCTGTTCGCTTGCAATAATCGGTATCAAGGCGCTGGAGTAATAAAGCTTAGCAGAACAATAAGCCCCGGTGTTACCCCCTCCTGTGTCACCCTGGATGGTTGTAGTTGCATGAAAAAATACACTGAAAAAGTGCAGTACTTTACATACACTGAAAAGTGTAGTACACGTCTCACCACGAAAAATGGGGGGACTGTCGTAATAATAAGTTGGACGAAAACACACACACACACACCACCCGGTGTTCATTGCCAGGGTTCATTCCTTTTTAGCTTTGCTTTCGCGATCAAAGCACTCCTAGTCGTCGGAATGATGTCCAAGGCGGACAAATGATCGGCATGGTCTTCTCGGGAGGTGTTAATCTCGACGAGTAAGAAAGCCCTCCGCATGTACACGGCATGTCTGAGGTTTTCTCCCGTTGTGCGACAACACAATTTGTCGTCCCGACTTTTCCCGCCCTTCCCCCGCTGTTCACGCCGGTTGTCGTGAAACACAACGACCAATTGCAGGCCTTACACGTACGCAGACGGGATGTGGGACTACAACGCGTTCTGCAGGCACTTACATGACAACCAGTGGATCACCGAAGTCGCGGATGGTGACGAATCGGTGCGTATCTGTGATGAGCACTGAACTGTGCTCTGCAACGTCGACCCCGCAGAACGATGCGTAGCGAGATAGATTCCAAGATACCAAACCTGTAGCACATCGAGTAAAATATCTACCGAGAAGGAGCCCTGCATAGGTTCTCCCATTGAGCATCTACAGCCAGTAGAAGGCACGATCCCACTCGCCCGCGAAGAAGAAGAAGAATGCACATCAGTTTCGCGACGTCCACGACTGCCAAAGTATCGCGGTTTGTCCACTTTCCATGGTCGAAAATAAGAACAAAGATTTAAGGCTTCGTGCGCAAAGCTACGAAAGAAAACAAGCTCTGACGTGTTATGGGTGCTATCTTAGACAGGTCACATCGGGCAACAGGTTGTCGGGAAGTGCAGATGGAGCTTCAGCGGATTCACGACAACGGGATAGTGATGAAAGCTCGACGTCGTCCGATCCTAGCGAGCTGGCTTCGGCGGTCTCGGACTCTTCGGTTTCGACAGATGACTCCACACCATGGGCAGACCGGTTTGTCGGTATGAAGAAAGACGGCTTCGAAAAAGCGATCCAGGTGCGCACATCACACCCGTATTTTGCTGCTATTGTTATCTCTTTGGTTGTGTTCGCGTTGGCTTAATACGTGAATGAAGCTCTGACGTCAGTATCTCCCGTTCCGACCCTCCCTCTTGCAAATCCGTCAAGTTGTGAGACAACTTCCGTTGCCACAAGATAACCTGGCACACGGTAACTATTAAACAGCACCTATGTTCAGAAGGATGTGCGTGCATGCTCTTGTTTGATTGTTGTGTCTACCCCCCCCCTTGTTGTCTCTGGAAGATGAGTTTCACTGGACACTTTCGTAGCGACAGAAATCCCTGCTCGCGAGCCATGTGGTGTGACTCTCTCCGAACGTGCACTCGCTGCGTTGCGAGTACTTGTCTCGCTCGCGATTCCTGCGAATGGGTGGTGTCCGGGGTGTAGTCAGGGGTCCTTTAAAGGCGGGTATATAGGGCGGCTGGCCAGGATAAGCCAGGAGAAACCTCCGCGCACAGATAGAATACTCCAATCAAGTTGTATTTTACTTTGAATAAGGCGGGTACCCGCTATTGGGTGGGTGAATCGGCCTGGTGCATGCCCGCTCTATGGAGGGCCGACGACTGTACACGTTTGGAACGACAAAAACATGTCCTTGCCGGAGCATGGTGCGATGGGATGCACGTACCTTGGACGTGACGCATCACGTGTCTGTCCCGACATTCTACTTTTGCGGTATTTTCCGTCAGTACATGTATGAAACACTTCGATACAGCCTGATCTCGTCGCTTCCTCTCAAACAATTCGCCGCCGACAAACTTTGTTCTCACAGGAGCTGGCATGTACTGTTAGACTCCCCGGGGAGGCGTGCGAGTGTGAGGGTTGCAGCACCCGACGGGTTCGCGAGGCCAAGCTGGAGCACCAAGAAGGAACAACCATGGACAAAGAGATGGAGGTGTGGTGCGTGTACCGGCGTGGTGCCGATGTACCGGAAGCCTGCGAAGCGTGCGATACGTAGTGCTCGGCTGTTGCCACGTCATGATGAGCACCTTCGCCTGCGTGTGCTCATCATGACGTGGCAACATTCACTAGTTTGTTTCTTTCATGTCAACCCAACCTTGTTCCACTCAATCGCTTAAGTACCACAGCCTATACTTAGTCCACCGCAACTACCGCCCACCAACCGCACGTTGTGCTTCTTCGAAATTGACTGCGGTTGTTCAGCGTCTGAGGATCAAGATGCATGCCAAGGAATTGCACACATCATGGGCGACTGTCCGGTTGTACTTCGAGATTCTGGCACCGAACGCGGCGAAGCTCTTTGCCGCCAAGGTACAGTGTGCACGAACCCAACCATGATGAACCATGATGAACCTCGTCGTTTGGCGTGTGATCTTATTTGACTATCAATCAAGCACGCAAACAAGATCTACTCCGAGATATGCATACATTTGAGGACTCTCCAAGAGCGGCATAAGTTTGACGGCATGTGTTGAATGCGTCTCCACTCAAGCGACCACGGTGTTGTCAGTTCTGGTCTGTCTCAAACCCTATGCGGCACGTTCACTTGCATCTCTCGTGCAACGACTACATTTTGCCTGTGAAAAGACGTACTTTCTCGGCCGGATGCCCGTACGAAAGGTATCTCCTTGATGTATAGAACACTTTTACGGTTTTACTCCGCATCTCCCATTGGGGAAACTAGGAAGAATCGAAAGCCACCTTTGTCACTGGGACAACGTTGCGGCAAACACAGAAACGCGACATACGTTGCATCATTCTGCATTCGAATCGTAACATGATTGGGGAGGTGTTATTGGCAACAGGACGTTTTATTCCACGTCGTCGAGAACGATAATAATCCGGACAGTCGTGGGCCCTTAGCCTCTGTAGGGAGGATATAGTGTGGGTAGCCGGTATTGGGTCGGCGAAATCTCTTTGGCAGCGATAGGATAGATTCAAGTTGGTTTATCCATTAATTTTGAATACTTGTGAAGGGCGGGCGGGTGCCCGCTACACCATAGGGCAGATGAATCGGCCTGGCACATGCCTGCCCCTTGAGACCTCTACGACTGCACAGTGTTGAGCCTCATCAACATGACGCAGCATAACAGCAACGTTGCGGTTCACATTTCATCTGCCGGCAAAAACATTTGTCTCCAGGCGAACGCCTCACAAGACATATTTGGCTCTCCATGGTCCAGCCCCACTTCGCGAAATCTCCTCTTCGACAACGACCAGGTACGGGTTTTTTGGTGCAGCAAAGAAAATGCCATCTGGAGTGACCCGTCCATGTTGTGTAGATCAGCCACAACAGGCCGCTGTGTCCTTACTTGACCCGAACCTGGGACGGCTTCTTGTTAGAAGTTATGAACGTTCAACCTAGACGGCTCGTTCCACTATGTATCGCTTATTCCCGTGCTTTTCTCGTCATGATGAAAGTTGTTTTTTCATGACCCGGGTAATCCAGCTTCTGGCCCACCTTTGGTGACTTCAACCGTAATTTTTCACTGTGCGTGCGCGCGTCTATGTCGCTCGGGTCGGTGCACCTTAGATGCTGCAAGAGATATTCCTGACGCTGGTTGGGAGGCAGGGGGACAGAGACTCCCTGAATGACCGAGAAGGCGGTTCTAGAAACCAATTGGAAGACACAACCGTGCTGAAAGGGTTGAGGGCAGACTGTAGGTGGGTGTTCTCACTGTCTTCCTGTCGCAGATCGCGAAGAAAGTTTCGAGTCTCCGCTTTAACAATGTTTAGGTGTGCGTAGTGCTTCGTGATTTACCGTCATGCCTGGCCCTAAATTGTTCGTTTCGCCTGCAGTCCTGCGTGTGTTCGCTTTTGAAGAAGCTTTCACAATTCCCGCGCGCTTAACCAGCATCCCAGTGATCATTCCTGAAAACTAGATAAGTGCGGCCATCCGACCACAGTCACTCCGGCACATGCTAAGTGTCGTTTTGCTACTCGACACATAATGCATAGAACCACCAGACAGACTCATACCGCCACGTACCGCAGGCTCAGCGGCTTCAGCCGTGCTTGGGAGCGGGCGGTCGTTGCTGAGCAGGGCAGGGTGGGATATCTAGAGGTGCTCCAGTTCTGCTGGTGAGGAACGTAGGATTGAGGCGCAGACCAATCGCATATCTCGTCCAGATTTCTACCCACCACACATCGTACAGCTACACTAGTGTGAATCAAGCTGTTCGAGGCGAGCTATTGATAACCATAGGCATCTGTTGGAATTAACTTACTTGCCTTGTGCGGCTCCTACCTCTCGATCGATACCTCACCCTCGCTACTTCCGTCATGCAAGGGACTACGGACTCCATCCGGGCATCCCGAACAATGGCGAGGACAACTTCCTTCTCGCGCACTTATTCGTCGGTGCTTCACACTCGGGTGTCAGGTCAGCTGCTCATCGACCGTACATAGACCAATGCTATGAAATCAGTTTTTTTTTTATAGCAGTGAATAACTGCTTCTGCGCCTAGACCAAAATGTTCCGCTTGAGGTACCTGACGCTCTATGGCTAGCTTAAGCGAACGAAAATTCGGTTCTTTGCCTTGAAGCGTGGGGGAGAAGAGGTATTGGATAGAGAGAGGACAATCAGAAGGCAATGACTACATCACCAGGTTCATTAATGTCGACGCGTAAACACGGAAAGACGTTCGTCCGTATGACATGTCTTTGGATATTCGCGTTTTGCCCACTTCGTATCTCTTTCTATCGCTCCCAACTCTCTCCGACTCGCTATTGATTTCTTAACTCCACGCAACCTAGAATTTCAACCAAGCCAGAACGGCACACAAAAAGTGAGTCCTTGGCTCCCCTGTACTTGGCAACCTTCCCAAATGCGTTCCTTCGAAAGAGTCGTACCAGACGAGGAGGAACAGCAAGGCAGTATGGGCAACAGAGAACGTGAACTCTTTTCGAAACTGAGGTGTTCGGTGGCCACGAAGGAAGTCGACAAATGGCTTGTGGACAGAAAGGTAATGCAAGGTGTCGAGTGGGGCAACATGTTTTATCACGACAGTATCTGATTTTTTCAGTGAACTAGGGACTCTTCCTCCGTACTTTCGCATGAGTTATGGTGCAAGCCTCGGTCTACGCAGTGCCCTCAGCCACGGCCCGTTCTAGATCGCGGCCAGCTTGTCAGCTTCACCTACCAACAGTCTCCACGCCCACTTGAAAATAATTATTCCATTGCGGTTGCATCAAGTCTGTTGTGTTTTCGTTCCAAGTGGTGATGACCTCTACAAGAGTCCCGCCTCGCTCTTGCCGTTGTTTGCGTTCTTCGCACCAGCCCCTGTTTTCGCCTCTATACGGGAGCTCCGTCTTCCGTGCTTTTCGAGCAGTGTTTCCGTTGTCGTAATCGGTGTTGTACCGCTGTGTGTCTTCTTCAGCTCGACCAGGTGTTGACGTCTGAAGATCCCGCCCTACCTCCGCTCTTAGCCCAGCTTGCGATTGGTGGAGGTCGAGTGTCCCCTACAAGAGTGCGCAATTTCGTGGAAGGGTTCAACATTCGCTTGAACCGGAGCTTGTCACCAGGTGCCAAATTTTGAGAATCTCATTGTTGTATCGATTCATTTGCACCGTTCCTGCTTGTCTTCTACGCCGTTCTGGTTTATATTCTCGCCATTTTGAGGCCCGAACCAAAACGTCGGTCTTTTGGTGTTGAAGAACCTACACATTTCCTCGCTCGCGCGTTGTCGTAGGCGAGCTGTTCACGATTGTACGGGAGATGGAGCGCTCCATACGCCTGGCTGGTATTGGCGATGTAGTCACCATGCAAACCTGCCTCCGGTCGGCGGCCCACGCATGTATCTTTTCCGACGCGGTAAGAATGTTATTTGCTTTGCACACACCACGGCACCACATGCCCTCGATGTCAAGGATAAGCCCATAGTGTGCACGAGTGAATTTGTTTTGCCTCCCATGCCATATGCCCATAAATTAGCATCGGTAGTCAATCACGGCTTGACGACCGACCAACAATACCCGCATCAAGACTGTGTACGTCATCCAGCAATCTGGATGTTTGATCAAAGTTTGCCCGTTTTGCAAATAGCCATCACGTCAACTCGGGGTTTTAGAGTTTTTCACCGTTTCCGAAGAACCCCTGCCCCTTGAACCACTGGCATGCCGTTACAGTTTTACGCCTGTCTCCCCCCCAAAGTGTCAAAAATACGTAGCGGCCCGATTCTCCTCTCCCTGTCGTCCCGGTCCCGTTGATATCGACACTCGAGTACCCGTAGTCTCCTGTCCAAACGTTCTCTGTAATGTGCAATCACAGGTGGCGAACCGCAGGTTGTCCTACGGGCAGTTTGTCTCCTTTTTCGGGGCGTTGTCGCAGGTACAGCCGGGCCTGAGTCCTTCTTGGTCCAAGGCGGTAAGAGCGGCGGTAATTCCTACAACCATTCCGACTCCGCGTTGCTATCCCATCTGCTTGACGTCACGCTGTGCAATGCAAGCCCTGCTTTTGTGTGTCTCACGAGAATTGTATGTGTCATTTCGTCACATTCCGTTAAGAAGGGTTCACATCTGTCAAGAGCTTTGTGCAAGTTGTCTTGTTGCAGAAGTCCTCATTCTGATTCATACTTGGAGATCTTCTCTGTTTCGAATGTACCCGTCGTCTGGCCAAGTCGCACGCACATCCATCCCGTCACAGGCGCTGCACGGACTTAAGAGACAATCGACGGCGGCCATAGGCGCGGTAATGGAGCGATTCATGTCCAACATTGAGAGTGTCCACCCGCTTCTGAGCAAGGACGCTGTACGAGGGGAGGTGAGACCCACAAAAAGCCAAATGTTTTCATCTAAGGTAATACCGACTACTCTGTCTATTCGTAGTCTCGGAAGATAACAACAACCAGCTGGGCGCAAGACCGTTCTTCTACTTCAACCCGGCGAAGTCATGCAAGGAACATGCGAGGAATCTCCTGTACAAACTAATCTCGTAGTCCAGCAGCAGGAGATGCTTCCAAGAAACAACACGCACGATGAATCGCCTTTGATTTGCACCAGGGGTGATGCTATGTCTGCTTGTTTCGAGCAATGCTCCCGGCCGGGCAGAACTCAAGGAGAGGAAAGAGGAATGCTTATTATGCCGAAACGCGGTTCCCTCGGGGCCGATTAAGTCCCACCTGCGTTTTTACCATTGTTTTCGAGGAGGTGCTAAATACTGCTTAGTTCTAGAGAGCGAACTCAATAGGCGACTACGGCGTGTCAAATTCCCTACCATTCAGTTTTCGCACCACGAAATCCATTCGAAGTGCCAACCGCACATGGCTTCTTCGGCCCAAAAGAGTGCCGATAGTGCGTTGTGATTACCTCACTCGCAAACATCAACGTGGGAAAAATAAAGTGGCGCGGGAAACTGACGGGGGAAAACTAAACTGAACTAATTGGCGAAATCGAGAACGGGGAAGGGATAGTATTTTCTGAACTGTGGTTATCTCGGGGCTGAATCAAGCCCCAGATACACATACGCCAGTTTGTGTTGGGAGTGCGAACTCCAATATGTCATTGGTCGGACTTCGTGCTTCTCGGTTACTCTCTCTGACTCATACTTGGCGTTGTACGTTCCTGCCATATACTCTTTTTCGTCGGTCTACTTGGCCTGACAGCAACAGCAGGTCATAAACACCAGAAATGTGTTCAACAGCAAGAATCTACCCCGCCAGCGCTACGAACCATCCGGAAAACAGTCGCTCACAACAAGTACTGGAGCAAGACCTTCGCAGGCAGCATCTTCGTCGGGTTATCTGCGACCGCGGGGCCCAAGGCTTGGTGGGACGTGAGTGCAAGGCCGTCCGAGCGAGAATGGATCAATGATGTAGCAATTTGTGTGTAGGTGCGGTACGATAGAGGAAATGACTCAATGTAGCCCGTGGATTCGTAACCTCGTACACCCTCTGACGCCCATGAGGGGAGTTCGAATTTCCCCAAAGATTGACGTTCAATCATTCGGAGCCTATCTATTAGATCATGAGCACGTTTTGATGGTAGTGTTAGGAACGTCTGGACTATCCACGCGCGAACCTGAAGGAACACCCTACACAGAGGAATTCCAAGCTGTGGTCCCGTACTGGAGTTAGTACTCCATGGAGAAGACAAGCCGTAAGTCAGGTATAAACCGCAAACAACGGTAGTACCTGCGACGTGTAAGACGAAAATTGAACTTCAAGACAGCGATGGCCGCCGGCAAGAAGAGGTAGTTGTTCATCGAGGCATGCCCGGCCTGGAAAAGCTGCTATGCGGGGGTAGCAGCAGCGGTGGCGGCGTTGGTGTTCCTGCGAATGTTCCTTGTTCCAATTCCTCCTAAACCTGCCACCTAGTGCAGGCTCTAATAGTGTTAACAAACATGTCTGCATCGGCCCGATATTGTGCGTTGGTCGATAAGTAACCCGCATTTCACTGCCAAACTTCCAAACTTGCATACGTCCAACGGTTGGATCTCCTTACGTTTTAAATGGAAACCAACGGTGTAAGTGTTTGGGGGGTTGCTTTCAAGTTGTTTCGGAGCCACAATCGAGGCCCCAGATTCAGAAGCAAAATAGGACAGTTCAAACCGGCATTAAGCGAGGGAAAACTGTTCTCCGAAAACAGGGGAACGTCCAAAAAGAAGGAGTAGGCAACGTCAACAACGTGGCGGGTCGTTTGGGAGGCTTCGGTGCCACTGCATGTGATTGAAGGTAGGAAAAATGGTTTAAAGCTATCCCTTCCACACGTTTTGTATCTCGAAACTCAGAATTCCTGTTGGAGACCCCCCACCACAAGGTGAGGGCGAAAAATCAAAGACTTCGCCACCGGCGAGCGGCAGGTCTTCTCGAGTCTCGAGCAGCTCAACAACCGCCCGACAACGCGCAAGATCCTCAATGGCTAAAAGGGTGAAACGAAGAACAACAAATCTTAGCCGGGCAAGCAACGCCTTCGCGGAAGCTGGAAGTCAAGCTACCAGCAGGGCCGCAAGTAGGTCCGAAGGTCCCTCTCCGTTTGCCTCCTCGAGACACACCTCGGCCGCTGGCATGGCGCCCATGGCGATACCAAGGCCAGAAGAACCCAAACGATATGGCAGACCGTCGGACTCAACTTCGCCCGCATCCTCGGAGGAATCTGAACCAGCCGGCAACATAATTTTGACCCAACTGGACATGTCTCCCACCCGCGAAGTCTTCCAGAAGGTCCACAAAACGAGTGCACATTATTGTATTTGGCGATGCGCGGTTGGCCATGCTGTCTGTGCATCCGCCCCACACGGGGGGGGGAGGGGGAGGATAGCAACGGGGTTCGAAGAAGAGGAGGTGTACTTGGTTTTGGCTCTGGCAAATATGAAAGCGACAGTGCTCCGCTTTGAGTTGCAGAAAGATGGTGTTCGTTTGGGATAAAAGGTCATGGTGAAGAAAGCGCAAAACACCTAAAAAGGAGATGGCTGTGCCATTTGACTAGATTGAACGAACAGAGTCATGGCCATCAGGAGTTTGGCCATGACCACGGCGACCACAGTCTGTCACCACCAAATTGCTACCTGTGATTCCTTAATCTCACCTTCCCCTCTTGGTTTGTGTTGTACTGATGTACCGACCGTGGTTTTAACATCATTGACTTCGTCGTCCCATGGTAGGAGAACCCATCGCCAAAGGCCGTTGTGCAAGAGCTTGAAGCTGTCTTACGGAGTGTCTTCGATCGATACGCTGCGCTCGAACGTAGCATCGGCCTGGGGTCCGTGGACACGTTTCATGAAGGTCTGGAAACCGCTTTAAATAGAGAAGGTCATCGGGAAGACGTTGTACGTGTTGTTTTATCTACGTTTTCCTTCTAATGTCTTTCTGTCGAGGAGCGTGCGACGAGTGGATGGGATTCGTACTTGAGCTTAGCGTGAAGTCCGCCGCAAACAGGCATAGAAAGGGCAAGCAACACAGCGCAGTGCTCCTGATATTGACCCCGGGGAAGTGCTGATACTACGGTAGGCAGTGAGTCGAAAACGTCTGTAGGGTATTGTGGGAGGCAAAATGTCCGAGGCGAGCATGCTCAACATAATCTCGTCTCCATCGCCAATCGTACAGTAGGTCACGGGGCTCCTTCTAAAGTCCTGAGCAGGGGACACGAAGATGGCAACATTCCTGCCAGCGAGACGAGACACAACGACGGGAACAGCGGGGCGGTATTCCCGCGGGCTATGCCGTCACATGGATCGCTTTATTACTCGCCTTCCGCGTCGCCCCGGTCAAGGCTTTCGGGTAGGGTGTCGCCGACTTCTCTCCAGCCTGACGAACAAGCGAAATCTCTTTCGGCTGTGGGGTCTCCTGTCCTGTCGACGCCCGCAATGGAGGCAGTCACACCGTTAACAGTCTCCTTGGACGGAGTTCTTCTTTTCATTGGCGACACCAACATCTTCCCGATGTTGGGCTTCGAGGTGAGAGGGGTCAAAAAGCTTATGACAAATCCGTTGGAATAGTTCACGATGGCCAGCAAAGGCCCGACGGCGAGTCTCAGTATGTCTAAATATTGCCACCCACATCAGAAGTGGTATGACAACTCTTCAGGTCGCGACGAAAGGTGAAATAAGTTGTTGGTCAAGTGGGATCTATCATTGAGTGTCTAGAAGGTCAACTCCGATATCGAAAAGTCTTGATCTTGTTCTCGTTCGTTTGACTGCCCATGTTGATTGGCCAGAACATTTTGGCCACGGCAGCTAAGGAAATCGAGCATATGGCATCAACGGAAGCAGAGGATGCATCGAAAAACACAGGTGAAAACCTTCCGGGAATCAATCAAGACGAGCTTTCAACTAGGACAACTGCAGGGCTGGACGCGGATGGATTCGTCAGGGTGTGTATCCATTTACTGCGCGACAACTTCTTGGTGAAGGTGAGGTTTGATGGCGCATTGACCACATTGTTGTTTTGAATTTGCATTTCAACCAGTTTTGGAACGATAAACCGCACCGGTAAGAGTTGTTCTTTGGACAGACACCGCCAAGGACATCTCGTAATTCTCCAGAGACGTGGTGTACATGTACAACCTGCATTCGATTATATTAAGTAAGTGTGGAATGGCGTAACTTGACATCGGGGTTTGACATAGATTTCCCGTCAGGAGATAATCCTGCTCGACGACATTAGGACGTTCTTCCGCCTTCTTTGGGGCGCATCCCGGCATGTTGTTGCCACGTCCTTCAGGAAATGGGGTTTCAACATCGTGTGGAAGCTCTCACCGTCGAGCAGCGAGACAAGGAGTGGGCACAGCGACTCCCCGGCACAACGGTAAACTTTTCCGACGTAGTTCCTGTGTAGTTCCCTCGAAAAACATTCTCCATAATAACCTTTATCAAGCTGGTACCCTGCTGCTACTGCGCTTGCGCGTGACGGTTTATGAGAAAAATTGTGGAATGAACACTTTCGCATCATTGGGTCAAGGCGAAAGACTTTGAGATACAGGGTACTATATTACGTGACCTACACCGAGGGGTGCAAGACATGCAAGGCAGCACACCATGGCCATCTAGACTGCTCTCACTATGCTACTGCTCTTTCTGTCAATAGGTTATTACGAGACCGTGAACTATTCCGATGTTTCCTATGGTCTGCGTTCACCACGCTTCATCGCAACGAGTTTCAAGAATTTCCGACCCTGAGTTCGATGATGCCCGGTTCCCCCATTTTGCCCTACATACATAGGAGCATTGCGATCTGCTTGCACGCCTCAGAGGGTGGATGGAGCACTACCAATTGCCGTCTCGCATGGCCCCCTTCAAGAGGGAGACCTTCGCCATTGGGTGCCCCACCGAAACAAGGCCACGCACAGGTGAATACGCCACCCTCGGTGAGAGACGAAGAACCTGTAGCAGTGAGGTGTGTACCACCGCAAAGTCAACTTGCGACTTTGTTCGACAATCGGAGGTCAAGACTACGAGAACCAAGCTAAACTATATATTTGCTGCCCTTCCTTGGACTTGGGTATCGAAAACCTGATCAGCGCATGTCCTCCGTCAATACCAAGCGCAAAATGTGGTACAGTATTCGGCCTCAAGTACTAGATCTATTCAACCGCAAGGGCCTCGCTCGAATATCGTTGAATCATTCCACCGCTTTGCTAACGCTTCGACTGAGTCTCTCTCGCATCCCGTTCTTCTCCTCGTAGTATCGTAGGACCATGTCTCTGAGGGGCCCCTTGCCTGGTTGTCGTGATTTAAATCGTGATGAATACTGCACAGCGACCTCGACAGGCGGAACGAGGCGAGTACGAACGCGGCCTGCTGGACTTGTACCACGCGCCAGCCCGTGCTTGATTGACCTGTGGACTGGCAAAATTGTGGCTAGGAACGCCTTGGAGACCAGCCCCGTGTCCCCATCAGGCAAAGCAATAAAGGCACGATCTTTGTTCTTTAGCGGTCGTCGTGTAGTTCTATGGAGTTCCACAACCAAGTCAAGCATACTCCGCTTAACCCTTTGCCACAAACGCCCATCCGGTACAATTCACTACAACCCTGAATATTGTGTTGAAGAACAATCTTATCCTGGGTGTCGAGCTTTTAAGGGAAGTGGTCGGCCATGTACCCACAAGTTGTGTGCAAGATATAGAGCACGAGATCCCAGGCGATTCTGCCAGGTGTTTTGGCCAGCCGGGCTTGCAACCGGTAGAGCAAAAGCTCTGTGCACATGAACCTCAGTGCTCGGTATGTATGTGCACATATATACGTAATGTTGCCGTTGCGCGACGGAACGATCTGTGAGTACATGGTCACGGTATACCGGTTGTAGTCCATTCGTCGACCAACGATACAGGACGGTTGAAGTGCAATACCCAAATTGTGGTGTGTTTTCCTCTTGGGCGTAGTTGAAACAAATCGCGAAACGCTAGCAAATGTTTCCGTCTCCGAAGTGCAATGGTCACCAATCTCACGGAACTGCCCGCCTGGGTATCCGTCCCCGCGCTTGGCAGGTAGACGATTCAGCAGATCGAGCGATCCTGAACCAGATTGCGGACATGGTGGTAGATCTGGCAGCCCTGGTACCTCAATCGACCACTGCAAGCCCAGCAGCCCCCGGTGACGTCAGCGTCGGAGGAGGCGGCACGACTCTTCCCCAACCGGGGGCAGACCAAACCTTGCTTCTGGGCGGAGAAGGTGTGCCAGAGGCAACCCCTGTCGGCACGAGCGACTCAATTCCAGAAAAGCTTACTCCGCCAGCTCGTGCCGTCGATGACAACAGCGACGACGGCGTGCATGGTTCTGACACGAACGACTTTTCTTTCCCTGGCATTTCGCCCAAGGAAACTGACGACAAACCTCGAGAGGGGACCGCCGGGGATCTTGCGTCTGGTGACAACAGGAGCGAACGCTCTGAGAAAACCGTATCAGGGGACAAGGTTGAAAACATCAGGTGACAGCAAGGTCATCGAGTGAGAGTGCCCCCCCCCCGTTCTCCATTTCACCACCACGTCCCGATACGCCTCCTGGTGGACGGGGGATACATAGGATATGCAAGGTTTCTTCGCCACTTCCGTGCATGAGATGACGTCAATCTCATGCTCGACCGAAACGAATATTCGGCGGATTTCATGTTCAATATGTTGTCTGATTTTTACAGATCAATTGGTCGATGGACCCCTTTTCATTGTCGATCGCTATAGCTCGCGGAATACCAATAGTACATGTAGCGTACAAATGTGTTTTGTTTCCCCTCTTCGTCTGCAGCGATACCTCACCATCCTTCGTCAAGAATCAAAACACGCCGGCCATTGAACGAGGCAAGAAGGCCGAACAGGCGGACTGGAAAGGCCAAGTCACTGCCCGAGAGGTTGCAAAAAAGGCCAAAGCGCAACAGCTTCGAATTTCCAACACCGTCGTACGGGTGAGTGGGTCTAGCGACAGCAGCACATCCCTCTAACATGACTAGTGGAGTTGAAAGGCCCCTCATTGTGGTGGAGCCCGCGTCAGACACTGCGAAAGCACCTGAAAGGGAGATCAACGCAGACGATGTACGACAGATCGAATTAGAAACATACGAACGCGTGTTTGAGGTCCTCCCGGGTACAGATGCTCCGAAAAAAACGTATCGATGACATGTACCGAGCCCGAGATTCCCACCAATCACACCAGTGCCGTCCTACCTCTACGCTAGGAACCCTGGACAAGTGATTAAAGCACAGCTTCATAGCATGACAATCCAAGTATTCAAATTTAGACCTTGCGCCGGGTGGGCCGGTGCGTGTGTGTGTTGTCAAGCTAGCGTTGGTGTCTTGCGAAGGAAAGACCCGAGTGAGAGAATCAAGAGATGTGCGGCCGGAATTAAAGCAACAGCAACGGGAACGCGTTAACCGAAGCGCTAAGAATGAGAGACCACACAAACAACACAGAACTGACACTAGCGTTCCCGTCTCTTCAATTGTGGGAGAAGGTTATCACAAGAGAATGTCGGAAGCTATCTCCACCGGCATGGTACGTGCCGTGTGTGTCAATGTCGGCGTATCGTATAAAGTTGGGCTCTTGTAGATCGTTGGTACTGAGGGACGCGTACAAACTTCATCCAGCACGATGATGATAGTCACATCCCTACACGTTGACAAGTGCCTGAGTTCTGTTTCCGTAAGCCAGAAACATGATTGCAATTAACGAACTGAGATCCGACTGCATTTTGGATGTCTCAGAGTTTCCCTCGTTGCGTTAACATCAGATTTTAGGCCAGATTCATCCAGACAACGTACCCTCGCGGCCTCCTACCCAACGGCCGGACACGTCGGGAGCATCAGCGGAGGACAGGGTCGAGGTCGACGGTACCAAGGAGGATGAAAACGAGGTCGCCTCGAGCTCGAGCTCGTGAGTTTAACAGGAAACAAGGGTAGCGGCGGCTCACCCTGCGCGGCATGAATAATACCTTGGCTGTGAGCGCTGAGGCGTACCATGGTTGTGCCTTGCGACGTGAAGGTGCTTAACAAAAAGTACTCTCGCGTGCGTAGTTTTCCCGTACAAGGGTCTGGTCTATCGATGAAAAGGGAGCGCGGAACCTATACCGACTGGTGGGGTTGTCTCTGGGCGACTCTCGCACCTTCACAACGGTTTAGATTTGCCGTTGCCTTCGACGCGCGAATACCTATTCTGAGCAGAGCTTGCTTGAAACCGTATGTATGGATTTCGGTATATGAGAAGCTGAAAACACATGACACCGAACGAGTACATTTGGCCTGCTTATGCTGAAAACATGACACAATATCAGCTTTGACGAATATTACTTTATGTTCATCGTCTCTAACCGCGCGAAGTAAGTTAGGGAGACTGTCGGGTGTGTGGAAACGTGTGTAGTCTACGGGCTCTTCGTTCTTCGGTCCAAGAACCGGAAGGCTTTATCGGAAGGCTGCCATTTGATCACCGCCTGAACTGAATTTGTTGTGCTCCGCCGATAGCACGCCAGGGATGTCACCTGGCGTGACCACCTGGTGGCACACAAGGATCGTCAAAACTTATCCTGCACACTGCGTCGCGTCCCGTGTCCCTCCCTGCTGTCGTGGTCGTGGGTAAAGCGACACTTCGAGCAACACCGATTCCACGGACAGACCCAGCAGGCCCCCTGCACCAACTGTGACACCTGATGACTTCACGACGCTAGCCAGCGACCACCCAAGCCAGCAGCTACTCAAGGTAGGCTGCATCGTACACCCATCACTCTATGCCACTTTTTGTCGGTTTTAGCAGCGGTATTATTGGTGGCGCTGTGGCGGGGGTTGTGTCGACTGGATCATTCGCTTGTGGCCGCCCAAAGTAACATGGCCTCCTGGCCTATTCGAGTCTATACTACACCATATGTGTCACCCTTCTTTCGAAGGGCAGATGGTCAATATCTTGAGGATATCCAACGAGGTAACAGAGGCTGCAACGGTTTCAACTAAGACATCCCCTGTGCTTAGGAGGAGAGGGGGTATACAATTGAAACTATGGAGCCCAATCTCATCAGCACGTAGTCGACGGCTAGTGCGATGGCTGGTGAACAACCATCCCATGCCTCTTCAGAAAAATCCAGCTCTCTTCCGAGAATACAGTGCGACAGAACTTGCCAGATACGGCCCCCACAATTTGAACTCTCGCTCTCAGTATATATGAACGTGTGTGAGCTGTTGACGTCTCGGACACACCCAATTCAATATCATCTTGATAGGCGGGCAAGGAGTTGATGCGGCAGAAACGACCGGAGCAGGCGGTGGTCGTGTGGGGTCAAGCTGCCGAGATACTCCGCAACACGATAGAGGTAAGGCTGAATCATGGAAGTTCGGTGCTGAGCGCACTTGTGGAAAGATGGTGGCCATGAACCGCGAAGTATTGTCGAGTCACGCTCTATCAAGTCTCTGGTGCCTGTTTGTTCCACCGCAACCATACCGACAATGCCGCTAGCTTCGTGCTGTTCGTTTCACGCTCAACAAACAGGTCGATCCCCGGCAAAGCCTTGTGGTATTGTTAAAGCTCTCGTCGGGCTTTCAAAAACTTGGGCGTTTCCAAGATGTTCCGCCCATACTCCATGAAGCAGAACAAACCGCGAGAGTAATCGCCAGCTGGCAAGAAAATAACAGGTGTGCGTGTGCTGGGGGACGATTTCCGGTACAGGAACCCATCCCCGCCCCTGTCTGCTATCTTCACCATGCGCGGAGCGTATGTTAGTACCAGGGCACACCTCAAATACGACGACAAGGATCCCCCTAAGGCGATGGCATCTCGTTCTCTCCCAGGCCATGTTTCCATCATCGTGTCCGTCTTTATTTATGCGTCTTACTTTGTTGGCTTGATTCGACTGCGTAGTCACCGACCGTTTTGTAATAATCTCGTGTGCCTCGGACGAGCGATACATGCCATGCCCGCATGCGTGCGTCACGACCTGTAGGCTAATTAGTTGCCATGAGCGCTGCGTTTGCACTTGTATGCACTTGTATTTGATTTTTTTTCTGCACGTCCCCAGGATTCTTCGAAACCGGCGACTACAAGCGACTGTCGTGGGCAAGCTCGGGTGGGCTTTGATCAACGTGAAAGACTTCGAGCGTGCTCTGGAGGCATTCGAACGCATGAGCAAGGTCCGCACGGGTTGTGCACTTATGGGAGGACATGACACGGTTGTAGATCATTACGTAATCGTTCCTGTTGGAGTGCCTACTTGACGGACTGCTTGGCCTCGCTTCTCGTATCAGCGCGGTCGCAGGGTGTTGTAGCCCGTCCCAAGCTATTGCAGACCATCTTGCAGATGCTGCAAGCCGTTTTGTCAATTTTGCGTTATACTTCAGATTACCTCACTCAGCGTTGCCACTGCGATTTACCTTGCGTGCATCCGCCCCATGCCATACTTGTGCGAGAAGCGTTTACGTGGGGAACACGATGACCCCATCGGGAAGAACGCCGGCGATTCAAGAATCTCTCGGGCGAAAAATAAGACAAAGGTGCAGCAGAGCAAGGAAGAACCAACCACGCGCGAGGACCTGTTGCTATTGTGGGAAGCAAGGAGGGGTTCGTCCACCGCCCTCGTTAGGCTTGGGCGAGGGAAAGAGGCTTTGACAAAGGCCGCGGAAGCGACGGAATTGGCTGACCAGGTGAGCTCGTCGTGCGCGACAAGTTTCGCCACCCTTCCCAGGTTCCACTTGCAAACACAGAATCCCGATTCAAGCGATTCCTCATACATGTATGATCCTCGTGCACGTATGAGGTAGCTCGTTTCTGGTGTCCCGAACCTCTCGTGCATTGAATAGAGTATTATTTTGAACAGATGATTGTTTTTCAAACTCTGAAGAGCGACAACGCCATACTGGTGTAAGAACCCATGAACGGGTAAAGGGATGCATGCCCCAGAAGGCTCGATTTTGGTTCTAACGCGTTCAATCGCCGTACATAGCATATTCAATTATTGACGGAATTTTCTCGACGCGCGGAACCCATGTTGCAGATAGCAGAGCCGGCAATGCAAGCAGACTGCGAAGGTCTTTGCGGCCGTGCTTGGCAAAGCGTGGCGGCGAAAAAGAGGAGAGAAGTCAAGTATAGAAAAGCTTCGACGGCGTTCGAGGCTCTCTATGGGCACCAAGAAGATGGCAACAACGAACAAGAGGAAGACACTGACGGCGAGGAGGGTAGCAGTGATGGAGAACCACATCACGACCCACCGATAGTGAGCATATCCGATTTGCGAAGGGGAGGTGATTGCGTTCACAGTACAGCGGCGTGCAGAAGATGGACGAAAACTATGACGGTGGCTCAGAGTCTTCGTTTCCTCCGTCAACCGAGTCAATGACCTGGAAGGTCAGGTGCGGGGAGCGAGGACTTGCACGTCGTCAACACGTCTTGGCATTTCTTTTGAAATGTACCATCCGCCAATTTCAGCTTACGTTTTCTGGACATGCACTCTCACTCAACATCACAGGTCTTTTCGAGCGGCCTCCAGAGTCGAACAAAAAGAGAGATTACTTCCGCCACCGGAGCAGAACGTGATCTCAACGACGTGAAGGCGAGCGCGCGAGAAGCCGCGGGTTGTTTCCGGCGGCAGGTTGCTCTGCTCAAGAGCCTCAACCGCTTCTCTACTCCCCTCCCACATCTAGAAGCGGAGGTACGGTAACACCTGCAAGTATAACATATATTGGCGTCTCACACCGTCCAAAGGCGTTGAGTTTGCTTACAGGCAGAGTCGAGGAATTTGAGCCATCTCGGAGGCAGCAAAACTTTGTGAGACGCTATTGTACAGTCTTCGCGAAACCAAGACGTCTTCCTTGTGGCAATCAATAGAAATCTTGCCGCCATTATCCTGGGTGGCCACATGGTCTTTCGTTGCTCACTAACAACAGAAGCACTTCTTGCGTCTTTTCTTTTCCGCGTTCCACTGACGACACACTAGCTCGATTTCAACATCGGAGACGACGGGTTGCCAATATGCCCCACCAAGACTCCCGACATCAAGAAGTGCAAAGAAAAACAGAGAACTGAGCAAAACGCTCACGTTGCCGCACTTCAAGCCCTCCTGGAGCTCGGGAAAACGGCACTATCCCTGGGGGAGGTAGACTCTGCCGTGGAAGTGTTCAAACGACGACTCAAGTGAGGGACATCCCCGCCTTCAGCGTTCGTCCGTATATTGTTGATAACCTTCTACAATCGCTACTCCCGCGTGCTTCCATCCATCTTGCATCCAATTTAGGGCAGCATAAGTGTTCTATCCGCATTTTGCTGAAGTTCCACGCACGTATCCCGAAAAAATGGGTGATACAGTTCCGATTGGGTCTAGATTTCTGGTATTCTTGGCGAATCTTCGTTACCCACTCGCTGCTGGTCAGTCAGTATGTCATCAGCTACAGGGTCACTTCGTGTAAAAGAAAGGACTTTACTTGCATGAAAGTCGCCCGGTTAGGCGTGTCGTAAACCTGCATGCAAAGTCTGTTGAAAGGTACGCAACATAGACTGCGACAAGAGTAGACGTATCGTCTCAGTCATGGCGTCTCACCCCACGTCTTCAACATACACACCACCCGCAACGGTTGGCTACCTCTCCGCTTTTCCCTTAACCCGTCCTCCCTTGCCTCCGCCGATGTTTTTCCTGGACCTTTCGTGTGACCGTATCGTACCCCTGGAAGACTGGCTGAGAGTCGACGTGAGTCGCCTTCCAGGCCATCTGGGCAAGATGATGAATCCTCGGGGCTTCAAGTGGGAGTCGGGCCGCCGATATCGTCTCACCCCGTACCCGTAAAGCACCGTGTTCCGCTTCCACCTGACGTTTCATTCCAATGTAGTTCAACGGATGTGCGGCGCCAACCCATGGGCGCGTGCAGTCAACGTAAAAATGCACCAAGGGCGGCGACACCTCCGACAGAAGCTATGCAACCGAAGGAACCATGTGTGAACGGGGGCTCCGCGAAAAGTTGTGAGCTGGCGACTATGGAGCGGTCGGCCCTGGACGTTGCTGAAGCGTTGTGGTGGTTAGCCATATCGACTTGCCAGCAGCATCTTGGTGTCGACCTCACGTCAAGTCCCAGGTAGGCGGAGGGAAAAATCGACTCACACGTATGGGTGTATCCTGAAAAAAAAACTATATAGTTCTTTCCTGCACATGAATCATCGCGAGCACGACAAGTGGCACAATCAGCTGGTAGAGCGGTCCTACTAGCTTGCCGTGACCATCATGTTACCGTAGTTCAGGTGCATAAGAAAGACGCCGACACCACGCCGAAACATCCGTCGGAACAGCTCGAGGTACATTAATCTTTTCCCATGCCTCCGGGCTAGGAAATTTCTCCGCTCCTCCTTCCAGACCAATTTCGTATCGACTCCTTTTGCCTTAAAGCTCAAGGGCAACCCGAAAAGTAGAACTCTGGTGGCCTCGTACGAAGTGCTGGCACGGGGTACGCGTGCTTTTCGACTTCAGGCCGACTTATTACTACAGCTCGTACCCTCCTTCGTCTGGTCACTGTCCAACTTAGGTTTCTACCATTCAATGCCCGCCCAAGACTACCCCCGACTTCCTCACGTTGCGGGATAGGAATGAGTTCAGGAAGTGAGAGACTCCCCGAGGCTACTCCTCGTCACAAAGGTGTAACTCCAAGCAAGACGCGAATGATGGCACCGTCTAGATTAGAATCCCCTCGAAAAAGCAACGAGGGCATACCGATTGACGTCCGGCCGCGTTCTACCCTTTTGCACGGAGGAGGCACCACAGACTCCGTTATCGACCACGACAGGGTCGTGTTTACGCCCACGCTGCCGCCAACACCCTGTAGAGTTCGGACCCCCTCCCGTCAGCCAACAGCATACCCCGGAGCGTACCGTAAACACGGAAAGTACAACTTGCCGAGAAGTGCAAGAAGACGCCGCCGGTCGCCTCCCAATACTGCACGCACCGCACCACGGTGGGACACCGGGGAAGTGAGCGATGGCCACGAAGCTCAGGCAACACCATCCCTTCGTCAGGATCTAGACTGTAGCGGTGATGGGGTTAGAGAACCATGTGATACGGGTGTCGCTGCCTTGGTCAGGAATTTTCACGCTGAAGAGGCGACTGACGAAATGATGAAAGGAAGTCTGCTCTGGAGAGAAAGCGGCGTCGGGCGTGTGACGGAACTGACCGCGGAAGGAGTTCTTCACGGCATGGGGGAGACGTGCCGACCGGTCAGTGAGCGTACGACAGTAGTTGAGAGATACGCCTGCTTGTTGGACACTGCCAGCCATTTGTTTGTGTTCCGGCGATGATGCCTTTGCTCGAGCGTGTGTCTATCGATCAAGTCCTACTACCGTAGTCTTCACGTCTGTACATCTCAACAGGTGACAGAATACCTCCGGCGGCAGCTAGCCATTGCCATGGCGTGCGAGTCAACCGAGGAATCATCGCCACCAAAGTCACCTAGAAAGCAAGTGATTGCACGGGATGCGCTCATGGGGTTGGGCACGATGGCCACGCTATGTGGCGACGACAGAGGCGCACGCGACCTGTATGAGCGTGCTGTGCAGTGCTGCCGGTGAGAGTCAGCACATAGCTACTACGCTGTTCCGTCGTGAATGAGTTTTCACCTTCCTATATGCATAGGTTGCGTTTCAGGTTGTAGCGTTTCTCCTGTTTTGAATGTAACATTTTACAGTCCCGATCACGTTCCAATGGTTCCCGATCCTTGTGGGATCGAACTTGGTTCAGCCTTGGTTCAACCCATTCACGTTCCGACGCCCCCCGATACTCTGGTGCCACTTAGACTGTATGTGATGTTGGTTTGCATCTAGATCCACATTTGACTTAAATATACGCGCCCTACCTTCGGTAACGGCATAGGATTTTGCGTCAAGCCAAGTGTTGTTCCCTCGCTAGGTTGCAACGTGCGCAACAACGGTCGGTGCATGCCAGCTCGTGTGCCTGTTCCTTTGACCGCATGCTGACCAGGGCATCTGGGGACTGGATAGGCCTAGCACACGCTCTCGCGGCCAAGGCACACCTTCAAGCCGCCGCGGGGCGCTTCGAGGAGGCTGTGGGCGGATTCAAACTCGTGCTCAAGGTTTGGATTTACCTGGGGATGTGCACGCGATCGATAACCGCGATGCTGTAGCGGCCAGCACCGCGTTGCTATTGTTTGCTTGTGTGCTCTTCAGCCAGTGCACGGCTTCCGGAAAAACAGTGGAAGCTCAGGCGCGAACGACCAAACCACCCAGCACTCGTACCCTCAACCATGCGCAGATTCCAGCACCTCAGCGCCCCCCCCCGCTGCTATCTCACCGCTCCCATTCTTGCTGTCGTCGTCGGTGCGTCGAACACGTTTCCAGCTTGCTTGCGAGTTGAGAGACGATGCCTTGGCAGCGTCAGCCCACAGCTGCTTGGGCTGGGCGATGGCATCTCGAGGGGGCGTGAAAGAGGTGTGAAACCAACGTTTGATATACATTCGGAAGTACGTGTCGTAGATGCTCCCTATTTCGAAAATATGTACAAGACCCCGACAGTTCGTTGGGATTGGGTCGGGCCGTGTGATGGCTCCATGTGTTCTAAACTAATGTCCTGGGCCGCGCCATGCCCTGAACGTTGATGGTGCGAGAGGCAGAAACAAGGACCAAACTTAATCATTTCGCTGGCGCTGGCGCTGTGTGTCCGCTTGGCGCGCGCACCACGTATTTAGGCACTGGGCCACTTTCGTCAGTGGAGAAACATTTCCTGCCGCAGTTTGGAAAGCTCTTCCGCCGCCGCGTCCGAGCTATGCATCGCTCACATGCACGTACGCCTGGCGATTGTCCTAAGTGGCGATGGTGATCAAGCAGTTTGTCACGACACACCTCAAACCGACCCCAATCCGGCGCTCGAATTATCGTCGCACGCGGAGCTCGTTGGAGCGCGGAGACACTACTCCAGGTAGAGTCTGCTTAGTAACCGCTACCCCGACCTTACCATCGGAATCACGTCCGCAGAAGGGCAACACAATCTCGAAGCAGCCCTCCTTTCGCTTAGATGGTAGTTTTTCCAAATTCAACAAGAGGCATCTCTCTGGCAAGGTTGGCTTTCTCGTGTGTTTCCCGATCGACGCCAGGTACGAAGCGTTACACCAAAACCAGTGAACAGTAGAGTTTGATGAAAGGCCTGACCGTACGATTATGATGCCATCCTTTAAGATTCGTCAGGAGAACGCCCCCCACCTGGCCCCGTTCCCCGCGCGAAACACCCCTGAATGGCGGTATACTGGTAGGTACCTTCGCTGGGCCAAAAGAGTCGATGATGCTTGTGGGGTGTCCCACGCACACACGTGCCTAGCTCGTATGTACCAAGTCATGGAAGACGACGAAAGTTCTGCTTTTCACCGACATGCTTCACTCGAAGGACACCCTTGGCGAGGGGATGTCGACATTCATGGGAAGGTAGGGAGGTACATGTGCGATTGTCACCAAGTTGTGGCCCGCTGCTGTTTAGGCCTCATATCTTTACTTGAACCAGAAACAGCACAGAATCAAAACTGGTTTAGGTTTAATATAGTACTCCGCAGATGGCGAAGTTACAGTTGGTTGCCTGAACCTGACATGATGTTTTGGGAATTACAGAAGGTGCAACTACGTCACGTTGCCAGGCGAGTAATGGGTGTCGTCCACCTTGGAAGAAAGCGGCGTGTAGAACAACGCGGCGGAGAGGTGTGTGTCTCCGTGGCACGAGAGCCAAGAGGAGGACAACAGGCTAAGGCTAGCAGCAGTAGCCTCGCTGGTGAAGGAGTTGAAGGCCAGCCTCGAGAGGAACTGCGAAGCGGGGGGAGGACGAGACAGAAAAATAGTAGTTAGGGGAGCTACAACATCATGCAAATACTTCTTTTGTTTTTCCGTGTCTGGTGTTCTTGTACCTTCAAGTCGTGGTGCCGTTCGTTCGTGTTACCCGATCGCTTTCCCCGCACGACCTTAGAACCGGGGAGCACAAAAGTGGGCGCCTGGTTGGGAAACTCCTGGAGACGAACAGCCCTCTTTTCGCAGTTCAAACGCTCTCGGTTGAACAACTATTGCTCTGGTTCGTTTATCTCCGTGCAGATGCGAGCAAAGGAGCACGAAGAAGTTGTTCGCGACATGCTTCAGCTGAACTGAGCCGCCACTGAAGACAACCTAGAACTCTTTCTATCGTGGTGGCCATCTTCGTATTTGGATGGAAACATTCGGGCACCAAGCGGAACTGATGTTCGAACGTATCATTTTCAAGGACGCGAGTGTGCGCGCCAAAGTTAGTGTCGTTCGTTGACCGCGTTGATGACATCCTCGTACCGCACGAGAAAGGTCACCCCGATAAGTGGTCGAGTATTTTGTTATTTTCTACACAGTATGTAGAGAAGCCCGTGCTTAAGCGTCTAGTCAAATACTTTGAAAAATAAAATTTTAGTTGAGAAATAGAGTATGGGTTTATGTCATACGACGGGTGACTGTACAGCCATCGGCGGGTTTTGGATCCGGTCAGTTACCGCGCCCTTCTTCTTTCCAGAGGACTCGATCAAGAATTGGGACAAAGACTTCGTCGAGTAAAGAAATGAAGTTTCGTTGGTCACTGCAAGGATCACCAAGCGGGAGGGGGGGGTGTACTCATAGTCGTGCATGCCGTAGTCGTTTGACCATTGACCTCGCATCCCTACAAAGCCGGGACGGAACACGCCGGGTTCTCACCGGACCAGGCTCTCACATCACCAAGCGCGAAGCGCCGTGAGGTATTTGGCGAGTCGCATGAAGGGTGAGCTGCATCCTGCTAAGGGTGTTCGGCATCTTGTGCTTACTTCCTTGCGTACGGATGACAGCTACGTATGACTTAATTTACTTTCTGGTGCTTTCATTTCCAGAGACAGTTGTAAGCACAGTGTAACTGCCTCGAGGAAGCTTGACCATTTTAACACAACGTGGTACGATCATCCCCCGTTGCGCGGAGTGAGGTTTCTCGACCCCGCACAACATGATCTACTCGACCACCATTATGGTTACCGCCAAAAAAAAAAACGAGGTAAAAAAAAAA